CGGCCTGTTTTTCATTTTCTCCTTACAAAGTGATCACAATTTTATTATATACCTAAAGGCTTGGATTAAATCCCTCTAGAATCTGGAGTGTATGAGAAATATTTTTTAGAAGGAAATTGATCAGGTCAGGCACTGTGGCTCACGCTTGAAATCCCAGCACTTTGGGAGGCCGAGGCAGGCGGATCACCTGAAGTCAGAAGTTTGAGATCAGCCTGGCCAACATGGCAAAACCCCATCTCTACTAAAAATACAAAAATCATCTGAGCATGGTGGCACTTGCCTGTAATCCCAGCTACTCAGGAGGCTGAGGCAGGAGAAAAGCTTGAACCTGGGAGACAGAGGTTGCAGTGAGCTGAGCTCACACCGCTGCACTCCAGCCTCGGTGACACAGCGAGACTCCATCTCAAAAAAAAGATAAGTAATAATAACATAATATTCTAATATTGATCACTTACTGAGAAATTACTCTCTTCTAAGTACTTTACTGATAACAATGATTAATTACCAATAATGAACTAATAATAATAGCAACCAGTCCTAAATCAAACTGGATGTAGCCATTTGGCTGATCTCTAATTTACCCACTCATTACAACGGCAGATGTTGGATGGCCCTTCCCCCTAGACTGGGGGCATCTGTGCCTCCTAAGAGGGCATTAAGTTAGGGCTCTGGGCCCTGCAGCCCTGCAAAACTCTCCTTATCCATCCAGAGAAACCCTTTCTTTGCATTTGGAGAGACTATGGGACTTGATATTATCTAAGGACTCACCCAGGCAGTTTTGTAGGTTCTCACCTGGTTTCCCCCATCCTAGGAACAAGACCAAGTGCTCAGGTGTACCCTGAAGGTGTCCATACCTAGGTGACACTAAACAAAAGCTGGTGTTCTCTAAAGGAAAGTAGATGTTAGGGAGGGACCTGGAGGTAGTGTGGATTAATGTTCTTGTTGGGGTGGGGGGATGCTGTGGTCAACAATCTTTAAGAGAGGTGCCAGGCGAGGCAGGAGACAACCCTTTCTTTCCTCATGCACAATTGGGGGAGGAATTTCTTTTTTTTTTTTTTTTTTAATTTTTTTGAGACGGAGTCTCGCTCTGTCGCCCAGGCTGGAGTGCAGTGGCATGACCTCGGCTCACTACAAGCTCCATCCCCCTGGGTTCACGCCATTCTCCCGCCTCAGTCTCCGAGTAGCTGGGACTACAGGCATCCGCCACCTCGCCCGGCTAATTGTTTGTATTTTTAGTAGAGACGGGGTTTCAGTGTGTTAGCCAGGATGGTCTCGATCTCCTGACCTCGTGATCCGCCCATCTCAGCCTCCCAAAGTGCTGGGATTACAGGCGTGAGCCACCGCGCCCGGCGGGGGAGGAATTTCTTATGGTTTTTCAACTAGAGTTTTCTAAAACTTTTGGTATGCTGATTAAAGTGGGCTCCCACTAATTTGGCTCCTCAGGTGTTGTTTTTTGTTTGTTTGTTTGTTTGTTTTTCCCAGACAAGGTCTCACCCTGTCGTGCAGGCTGGAGTGCAGTGTCGTGCAGCCTCCGCGGTTCAAGCGATTCTCGTGCCCCAGCCTCCTGAGTAGCTGGGACTACAGGTATGCACCACCATACCCTGTTAATTTTGGTATTTTTAGTAGAGATGGGGTTTCACCATGTTGGCCAGGCTGGTCTCAAACTCCTGAGTTCAAGTGATCCACCCGCCTTGGCCTCCCAAAGTGCTGGGATAACAGGGGTAAGCCACTGCGCCCAGCCTCCTCTTATGTTGATAATAACAATAGCTTGTGTGTCCTGCCCATTTACTAAGTGCCAGGCACTGTTTTCTCCTAGACCAAACGGTAGTTAGGCTCCTCTGAGTCCTCAGCTTGACTAGGCCTTGACTTTGGACCTCTGTGTCTTCCTGTCCTTGCTGGGCCTGAGCCTGCATAAACCAGTTTCAGCAAGAGTCCTGCTAAGTTAGCAAGAACTCCCCCTTCCTTGATGTCTCCTCCCAGGAATCTTCCATCCCTGGCTCCCTCACTCTGCACTTTAGCTATAAATCCCTCCTGGGTCCTTGTTGTATTCAGTGTTGAGCCCAAACTCTCACTCCATGGCAATAACCCTACAGCAAGTCTTGAACAGTACTGGTTTAACAACTGTCCCAATAACGTTTCTTTAGCAACAGCGGTTAGCTCATTTACTCTCACAAGGATCATATGAGGTAGGTATCCTAAATAGCCCATTTACACAGGAAAGTGGGAAGGAGAGAGGGTGCCCCCAAGGACGAGACACAAGCTGTTGCCACATCAGCACTTTGCGCCTGGACGGTCCCCAGTTGTCCTGGCTGCAGGCAGTCCCCACAGCCCGCTTTCTGGAGTATTAGCCAGGCAGGATACGCCCTGGGCGACAGAAACTCCGACTTTTGCCAGAGGCCCCCAGGTACTGCCTGGGCGGTGGCGGGAGCCTGGAGCTTGGCGGAAGGCGCGCCTGCCGACGCCGTCTCCTAGCAACCGAGCGGCGGTCACGTGACCCGCTCCAGCCCGCTTCACGTGGTCCGGAGCGGCGCTGGGATTGGAGTCGCCGCAAAGGGCGGGGCGGGGCCGGGCAAGTTTGTTCCCCGAGTTCGGAGCCCAGGAGCCCCCGCGGCTGCCGCGCAGGTGCCCTCGGCCTGGGTCGAGATGGAGCTGCCTGCTGTGAATCTGAAGGTGGCAACGGGCTGGGGATGGGGGGGTCCCCTTTGCGGGAGGAGGTGGGCCATTTGCATTTTCCAGGAAGGTGGGAGGACCGGGAGTTTGGGGGAAAGAGGGATGGGAGGAAGGGAAGGTACAGACCCCACGCGAGAAGGAGGTGGGCAGGCAGGCCACAGCAGGGAGAGTGAGTCAGGCACAGGCCAGCAGGGCGACGCAGAGGGGCCGTTGGAGTTGGCAGGGGAGGGCAAGGGCCGCCCCTTCCCGGACTCAGACCCTCCAGCAGGCAGCGCTGGTCCCAGGATTGCTGTTGCCCGCATGCCCAGAATTCCCCTGGAGGAGGAGGAGGAAGGCGCGCGGGAGGGGCTTGGAGGCGGCTCACCTTCCCCGCGCGGGGTCAGGGACTGGGCCTGCCCCCGGATCCCAGCACCGTCCCAGGACCTCCTTATTTGCTAAGTCGGGTTCAGGAAATCTGATGTTCCCAAGCAATTGGTTTTATAAAATTTACACGTCCAGCGCCCTTATTTCATAATGAAGAAGCACAAACTCCCACAGAAATTACTTAAAAGCAGAAAACCCCAACTTTGTGCACTGGGGAAAACGTTGCAGGGCTTCCTGTGGTGTCTTCATTTCCCGAGCCAAGCCGTGAGCTCAGTCCGGGTCTGGGTGCCAGCGGCTGTTCTTCTTTTTCTCCCCACCCAGCACCGTCGCCCTTGTGTCTGGGCTCCGTTTGCATGAGAGGGGCTAGGAGCTTTAGCTTTGGTCAGGAAGGTGTGGACCTTGGACCAAACCGGCCATTTTGGGTCTTAGTGCATCCTCCTTTGAGGCAATATCTAGGAATGTCCTCTTACTCAGAAGTGACGAAGCATTTAGCTCCCTGTTGGTGTCTGGCAGTAAAGGAACCTGAGAGATAGACGGTTACAAAACAATGGCTTAATACACTTTATTATTACACAACATCTGTGCTGACTTGCCATGGGCCCGTTTCCCTTCTTAATCATACTTGCTTCAGCAAACCTTCCTGAAGCTTCCAGTCAACGGTGGTGGGGAGACATGGCTGGAGCAGGGAAATGGGCTTGGGTGGAACATTCAGCTGGGAAGAAATTTACGTGACAGCAACCGAAGTTTGTTGGTATCCGTACCTACTGTATTCCAGGCAATGTGGGGTTAACACCTACTGCATTTTCTCTGATGAGGGATTTGCTTAAAATAATTGAGAGAGGATCAGGTGAGGGCGGTGGGAGGGATAGAGCTCTCATTTATGGGCTTCTGTGGTGTACCAGGTTATATAATCAAGGCAGCCTTATGAGAAAGCTGATGTGGTTATCTTTTTACAGATGAGCAAACTTCAGCTTCGACTGGGTAAGTTGCCAAGGTCCCATAGGCAGTAGGTGGCAGTATCAGGATTTGAACCCATAGGGCTCAGACTCCAGGGCCAGGTCCTTTCTGGGGTACCAGCTTAGTTAGGGCTGACTTTAACCTTGGCTGTTTCTGTCTTTTGGGAGGGCTTAGTCTCTTAGGGGCTTTTTTGAGCAACTTTTTAGGCCCGACAGGCTAAGAGCATCCACAAGTATGAGCTATGCTGGGCAGCTCAGCCAGGATGAAAAGGCTGGTCCTCCCCTTGACTTGGCAAACAAGATCCCCCATCTCCAAGGGTGTTAGCCGCTACCAGTCAGAGACAACTAAGTGCTGGGTGGCCCTGAGGGGTCAGGGTTGCCAGGTCAGGTACAGGAGATCCAGGTGAATTTGAATTTCAGGTCAACAACGAACAGTTTTTTAGTATGAGTAAGTCTCAGGCAGTATGTGGAACATATTAACAAATTATTCATGATCTCGTATTGGGAATTAACTGGGTGTTCTGTAGTTTTGTTTGCTGAACCTGGCCATCCTGTAGAGAGCAGCCGTTTACTCCTTGCTTGCAGGCACTTAGGGGATGTTCTGAGATCAGAGCCCTTCAGGAGGTGGGGAACTGCTCCCTGCGGCCTGCGCTCCCTCATTTTGTATATTCCTTGGGCAAGGGCTGAGTGCCCGTTTCTGCCCAGCTCAACCAGAGTGGGCAGTGGTGCCAGGTGAGAAGAAACAGCTGCCCCAGGCCCTTTGCACAAAGGGCAGCCCCTGACTGAGCCTTGTCCATGTAAGAATGACATTGTGGGCCAGGTGTGGTGACTAAGCCCTGTCCATGCAAGAATGACATTGTGGGCCAGGTGCGGTGGCTCACTCCTGTAATCCCAGCACTTTGGGAGGCCAAGGTGGGTGGATCACGAGGTCAGGAGATCAAGACCATCCTGGCTAACATGGTGAAACCCCGTCTCTACTGAAAATACAAAAACAAAATGAGCCGGGTGTGGTGGTGGGCACCTGTAGTCCCAGCTACTCGGGTGGCTGAGGCGGGAGAATGGCATGAACCCAGGAGGCACAGCTTGCAGCGAGCTGAGATCGCGCCACTGTACTCCAGCCTGGGCGACAGAACGAGACTCCGTCTCAAAAAAAAAAAAAAGAAAGAAAAAGAATGACACTGTGATGAGCTTAGAAAGGACTGGACTTGGGTTCAGAGGTCTTGTGGGAAGAGGACCTTGGGAGGAGGATCCTTTGGTCTAGCAGGTAGTGTAGCATTAGGGTTAAGAACTCAATAATGAACTCAGTAATGAGGGATGCAGGGCTGACTTCCTGACAGGCACTGTGTGGAGCGCTTTCTCTACCTCTCCACCTCCCTGTACCAGTGGATCCACACAACAACACTGAAGAAAGCATTATTGCCCTGCTTTACAGAAGAGCAAACAGCTGTTCTGAGAGGTCAGGTGACTTGCCCAAGGTCATTAGGTTCTAAAGTCATGGAGCCAGGATCAGATCCACCTGTTTGCCTCCAGCACCCACGAAGTTAACCGCTGCACGACTCTGCCTCCCATCTGTGGCAGCCCTGACTGGTGTCCCAGGGCCTTGGCCACCCTGGGGGATCTCACTAGCGCATGTAACGGGCCACCAAGTGTTTGCACAGGACTGGTAGGAGTATATTCCATTTCTGGGAAGTCCTACCCCGCCATGGGTCCTCTAGTGGCAAACAAAGGGTTGAAGTCTTGGTCTTCATGCCCCGTTGGTTTCTCTTCAACCTTTCCTTCTCCAGGTTAGACTTCCTCATTTCCATCCGCCCTCTACGGCTCTTCGAGATCCTGACGGTATAACACAGTGGACAGAGCACAGGCTTTGCGGGCAGGCAGGTCTGCATTCAAGGTCTTGAGTAGGTTTCTGTGTGACCTTAAGTAGGTTTCTGAACTCTCTCAGTATCAATTTCTTCCTTGTAAAAAGAAGATAAATACAGTCCCTACCTCCTAGGATGATGGATCCCATGGTCCAGGAGGTAGTCTAGAATTAGGGTCACAAATTCAGGCTGGGCCAGGCATGGTGGCTCACGCCTGTAATCCTAGCACTTTGAGAGGCCCAGGCAGGTGGATCACTTGAGGTCAGGAGTTCGAGACCAGCCTGGCCAACATGATGTAACCTCACCTCTACTAAAAATACAAAAATTAGCCAGGTGTGGTGGTGCTCGCCTGTAGTCCCAGCTACTCAGGAGGCTGAGGCACCGAGGATCACTTGAACCTGGGAGGCAGAGGTTGCAGTGAGTTGAGATCGCACCACTGCACTCCAGCCTGGGCGACAGAGCAAGACTCTGTTTCATAAAACGGACAAACCTCTGGCTGGATAGATCGAATCTAACATTTGTGTCTGGGCTCCGTTGTTTGTAAGCTTTATGAATATGGGCCACTTAATCTCTCAGAGCCTCAGTTCTACCCCATACAGTTACACGGATGACATGAGTTAGGTGCAGTGCAGGTTAGACGCATGGCAGGCAGGTGCTTGTCAGTAGCAGGAGTTGCTGCTCTTGTTGACGATACAGGATCCCTGTCCCACATAGGTATTTAACAGTTAGTAAACGGATACTTACAGTGACCGTCCAGACAGATGCTTGTCTCTGGTAGTTGAGGCACCCCGTGGGACAAATGGGTACTGCCTCCATTTCGCAGAAGGGAGCCTGAGGCCTTGGTGCCTGGACCAGCACCCAGGTCTTCTGTTCCAACCTAGCATCCCGGGACCCTCTGCTGCCTTGGCCCATTGACCCCTGTCTGGGAAAGAGCTGGGCGGCCTCCCCTGGGCTGAGCACTGTAGTGAAAGTCCAGGGGCTGAGGTCCATCTTTCCTGCCCAGCTGGGAAAGGTCCTGGCCCTGCCACCCATTTAGCTCAGGTCCCTCCCCTGCTTCCAGCTCCTCTTTCAGGCAGTACCTGAGAATCCTGTGTCTCTTTGGCTACCAGGAAGCTCCCCCAGGGCGAGCAGACAGTGCTTTTGTCCCCACAGTTACTGGCCCCTCTTTCCCTGGGCTGCCAGGAAGGGCAGGGCCCGTTTGGCTCAGTTTCTCCCTGGAGCCTTCCTGCACATTAAGGCCTCTCTGGGTGTTCTTCTGTTACAAAGATGAGGAAACTGAGGCAGGGGAGGCTTAGGCTTCTGGACATTTCTTTTCCCAGGGACTTAAGAGAAGCACATGGTGCTAACTTTCTTCATGTTTATCAAACCAAAGTGACGTCACACAGCGGGGACTGTGTGTGTTCTGAGGATCTGCAGTATTTCCAGGTTACATTGTTTTCTTCCCTAACAGAGATGGCAGAGGTGTGGACCCAGCTGGGTGCCCACTGTGTGCTACAGGCCCTTCCAGCGCTACGAGGTCTTTATCTCACAGGTTGTAAGTGTGACCCTTGGGGTGCCCTGCAGATCAGCGGCCCCCGTGGGACTCAGCCTTTCATGCTAACTGCATTCTCTCCAGAATAATCCAGGGCTCTGCAGGGCCCATTTATTAAAGACCTTTTGTGCGCACAGTCTAGGCATAGGAGCCAGAGCATTGAAAATGAAGATCATTTCCAAAACAAGCCCAGAGTGCGAAGAGTTAGGTGTCGATTTTGGGGAGGAAAAGGGCGATGGGAGCTACCTCCCCTCTGTCTCTTTCCTCGGTGTCTTCTTTAAGTCTAAAAGC